ACACTTTACTCTTCCTTCTTGATCATGTCCATACTAGTAATGCATGGCTCCAACATTTTCTGCTTGATGATCCAGAACTATAATTGCTTAAAAAGACACAAAAATCTACCAAAAAGATGTTCCCTCAAACAATTTCTGACCTTTCAAGTCTGATCTCAGGTGACTGTAGGACAAGCAGTAATTTTAAAGGGGAAAAAAAAGAGCGTGTAAAGATGTCCATACCCGACTCAAGATTCCAATGCAAACATATGTCAGTTCTTCAGGGCACAGACTTATTTATTACTGTATCTAGCACAAATTGGGTTAAACTGGCTGCAACCTCTGAATATTGCCTTAAATAATGAGTAATACTTGCTTTAGGGTATCTGATCTTAGAACTGCTGTTATTTAAGGCAGCGAATTAAATATTCTGATATTCAATTGAAAGTTCATATCCTTCAACTCATTAAGGGCTTCTGCTGTTTATACGTGCTAAAATTAATACGTATGTTCAGCCAAGCCCATAGTTCTCTCATTCTAATGAGAAGCAGCAAACAGCATACAATAAAGACTTAAATTAGCTCGGGATTTTTGCTGACTGAAGAAGAGTTAGTGGTTAACCTGAGCTGCAAGTACAAAAAAAAATACAGGTTGGTGAGAAGGTAATGATCATGCATGACTTCCAGAAAAAAAATAAATATAGAATGGTAAAAAGTTGGAACAGCAGACCCGTCCTACCCTCTTGACTGTCACTTACGGCAGGGTCTTTAGTGCAGCAAGAGAACGGCACACCACAGCGCTCTCGACTTGCGTTGGAATCTGTGCAATTGAAGTAAATATTAAGGTTCCAGTCGTCAGCTCCAAAAGCCCCACAGCATTGCCACTAGAACAAAAAAGAAGAGCTTCTTGACTTTCAGAACAAACAAATCTCAGCATCAGTAACACGCATCATTGCTGCCAGTTTCCCCCTAGCTTTCAAAACAAAATCTGAGATTCCCTCTGGTTTCATTGAAGTGGGCTTGTTTTCATTTGTGGGTGGGGTTTTTGTTGGTGGTGGTTTTTTGTTTGGTTTTGAGTGTGTTTTTGGGGTTTTTTTTGTTTGTTTGTTGGTTTGGTTTGTTTGTTTTTAAATGACCATTCCAAACGTGTAAGTTGTTCTAAAATCATCATGTGATTAAAGTCATGTTCACACCCTGCAATGCTGCTTTCTGGAGAGAAACCCGTGGAGGGAGCTGATAAGCCTACACAACACCACAGGCCTACAAGCTCAGGCCCCAGGGACAGCAGAGCCAAGAACATGATATACTGTCCAGCCTAATGTGCCCTGGGTTCTCAACAAAACTAATCAGCTCCAAGGGCTACACTGGTTTAGCTACTCCTTCTGCCAGTTTGAGGGAATCTTTGCCTGGCTGCATATCAGACAGTACGAACACACTGTTTCCTGAGCATCACACATTGCACACATAACATCTTTACTGAAGGCAGGCAGAATCCTTTAAAAAGTAAATACGCCAAATGGCAGGCTTAATCTCTGGCAAAACATCCTGAAGATAGAAAGAATCATTAAGACTTGTTGAACATACAAAGAAGGGACTGAAGATCAGTAGAGCAAAAACAGTTCACAGCATTTAAGGAGCTAGCCCAATAGACTCATCTATGTCAACTTAAAAAAAAAAAAAATCAAAAAGCCCCAAACAAATTACATTTTTAAAAGCATTGGAATGGCAATTCTCTCTTTCTACACGTAGCACAGTTCCCTTTGCAATAGCTGAATGTGTTGTCTTCAAGCATCATGTCTACTAGCTGAAAAAGTAGCTTGCTCTCCAGACTCATGCTGCCCCTGACTTTGCTAATCCAGCAGGAGAGCAAGTTTTATTTAGTGCCTGGAAGACTGGGCTGCAGCCTTTTGGTTGCATACAAGCATATGACTGCGTTCAGACTGTAGTGACCTCTGACCTTCTCCCAACTGGACAAGATTCATACCAGTGCAAGGGTCCACATCCTGTTCCTTACTCACTTAGCATTTTTCCCCCAAGGCATACAGAAGTAAATCAAACATTGAATGAACTTATTTTAATTGCAGAAGGTACAAAAATTAGTAAGCCAGTGCTTAACCATGTTAGCTACACAGGGCCAAATTCAAAGAGGAGCTCATCAACACAGGCCAGAATTGAGTACTGGAGCAAGAAGGTACTGGCAGAGTAACTTGGTGTGCAAACATCAGTGCAAGACACCTTTAAACACATGCTGATAAATTACAGAGCTTAACCCACACAAGCATGCACATCTCTGGCTTCACCCTTCCCTCCCACGTGTAGATGTAGCGTCATTTAGAGATTTTCTGTGAGAACTTTGAGTTGCCCACTTTGTCAGGTGAATTGCACTAAGTCTACTTAAAAAGCAATAATATTGTAGTTTCACTCAGACCAGCTCAACACCTCTGCCGCTCTGCAGTGTGATGTACCACCTCTAATATTGCTAAAACTACACCAACATTCATCTCTGAACCAAACTAAGCTCAGAAAAGGATTCCTTTTTTTTTTTAAACAGATGTGATAGCTTTTACAATAAAATATTTTTAACGTTCCTCCCCCCAACAACGCTAAAATATCTTCATACACATATGGAATATGCTCCAAAAAATTGAACACGAGACACTGATGGTTAACGTGTAGATTTGACAGACTATCTCTAAGTCTTCAAGAATAAACCACCCCAGCTCTCCACCTTGTTTTGCTCAGCCATACATGACAAATAAGTCACTTTTCACAGGTGCTGTGTGCTTGCAGAAGTTCTGCAAAGAGAAACATATATATATATTCAAAAAGTATTACACGCTAGAATATTTCTGTTGTTCCTTGAAGAAACCAAACAGATAGGAAGTCAAAAAATAGAGCAGGTATTTCTTTAAAGTAAGCTTTACCAAAAAATAAACATAGTCCAACTTACATATTCCTGTGTGAAGTCTATGAGGTTTTGCAAATCAATGTCATCTCGGTATGCTCTGATGTTGTTGTTTATAAACAAATACAGCTGGTCCTTTATCCAGTCTTTGAAAACAAATGCTAGAATACCAGCAGTGAGCTCCAAGAAGAAAATAATTCCAAGAAACACAGAAAACTATGAAGAAAAATAAAAAAGTTTAAATTGTTTTGCTTTATGATGAAAAACTTATTTTTCAAGGCTCACAATTATGTCCAGTGTTAGGGCTTTATCTGTTTCAGTGCAAGTTTAAGCTATATCAGCACACAGGAAATTTTAAATTAAAAATACACCATTTATAATTAGGGCTGTAGAAGAGGAATCTTAATTCTGTTCTAACAAGTAATAAAAATGCCAACGAATTCAAACTTTGGACATTTCACTAGGATTTTCAAAGAGTTCCAAGAGAATTCACTGTAAATTTCAAAGGCTACTCACCACCTGCGGGGCGCTCTGAGTACTCATCTGAAATTTTTATGTAGGCACTTACATTTTCAAAGGCATAAACAACCAAGAGTGCCAGTGAAACGCTTTGTAAACGACTTTCTTTAGGCATCCTCATTGGTAAAGCTTTGTCTAAGCAGACAAAGCAAAAACTGGTAACAGCAGAAATTAATTGATGACTAAGTCGGAGTGGAATGTCTATGGAATGACTCACATCCACATTAAAACCAAATGAGGCTGCTATGATTAATGTAAATGCAATGGATGCCAAAAGCATTACTAATGATCTGCCACTTTCTCTAAGCATCTCCACTGAGTCTAAGCTGTTTTAAAACACACAGGGGTCCTCATATACTGGAAGTCCATCCTTTTTGCAACTGTGCCTTTGAGTTTCATTTTAATATGCTCTCTGTGTTTGTTCAGATGCATTTTTAATTTCTCCTGCAGCTGCTGTATAGGAAGCTATTTCTGGTACAGCAGATGGGTTCATTTTAGGCAAGCTAAGAGAAGCAAGGAAGAGGGGGAAAAAAAAAAGTATTACAATAGATTTCCCCCCTCCTTCCTTTTTTTTTTTTTTTTAAGGAACACAAAGGTAAGCTAGAACTATCCCAAGCTGCTTTATAAATGCCTCAAGAACTGTAACTCTCAACTGCCTCCTCCCCTTATACAGCATTTCTGTGGGAGCCAAATATGTCGCTTGAAGGCAGTTGTTTCACTGGAAGCCTGTTCATGTACATATTAACAGCAAATGGTTACAGAGACACAATGATTACCCAGGCTGTTCCCACCTCTGGAAGTTTGGGTGGTGAAGTAAAGAACCCTGAATTTTTATTATAAATCTTAAATTTATCCAAAATGCAACATGATACTGTTATCTTCAAAGCTCACAGGAGGAGGGCTTTCAAAAAACAGAACCAGGCTACTTAGCCAAAGGAGCTTTGAATACCGAGGTACGTTAGTGTATCGGCAGCTCCTTCCCCAACTAACAGTCCAGCCCGAGTTCAAGAAGACAGTTTCTATTTTCTTTACCCATCCTGGGCACATTCTCCTCCCTTTCTCCCTCTCAGGCCCCAGCACTGACCGTAAGCACTGAAGCCTTTTCAGATCAGCCAAGTGGTGCAGAACTGAGGACATCAGTAAGCAATCTCTCGTAACAGTCCTGTCTCCTGGGTACCATGAGGGGCATTTGCACAGCAGAAATCACACAGGTCATGTTCAGTGGTGTGTCTACACTCATGTTTCATAGGCAGTTTATAATGGACTCAAAGTTTAACATGCAGATTCTTAGCAGAAATTTCTCTCTTTGTGACAGGAACGCAAAATGTTAGGCTATATCCATACGAAAAGGAAGAGTAGTTCCATGTTATGATTCTTACCATCAAGAGTTTCGAATATTAAAAAAGCCAAAACAGTAAGCACCAGAGACTGAAGAACGGGACAGTGTTAACAGTTAAGCAAAAGTGATTCACAGAACAGTACTCTCACATCAGATAACACTTTCTGCTCCCCAAATGACATTTTGAAGTCTTTACACAGTTAAGCGGGAACAGAGAACATGACTTAAGCTATGTAACTCATGAATGCCACAGTTGCAAAGGCTACTTACAAATTTGAGAAGAAAGGTATTTTCTCGCAAAGCTCCAATGCATCCTGCAAATCCCAAAATGAACATAACTCCTCCTACCACTAGGAAGAGCCAAACTGGATCGAGGCCTCCCAGGTCGGTGATGGAGGAGATATTGGACAGCACTCCCTGGTAAAGAAACAATGCCGAGAGATAACAAGTATGTTCAGCTTTCAGTTGTACAAATTCTGCTGACATTTTTCTTTTTAAAAAGGCAGAAGATTACAGCAAATAAGTGTTCTCAGTACAGCAAGAAAACCCAGTTATAAAAATCTTGGCATTCAAAAAGAGATAAAAAGGGCGATTATGTACAATACTTATCAATATGTGGAATGAACAGCAAAACATGCTTCTAGAGTCCTCTGTAAGAAACTCACAGGGCATTTTGCTGCTTCTATAGCTATGAGAATTAGTTTGTCAGAAAATCAGAATAGATATTTGAACAAAACTTAACTCAATCTTATTACCCACACTGAGATGCATTTTAGGTATCATATACACTGTTTAGGTAAGCACAGTTACACATGTTATGACAGAAAAAGCAGTCAATAGCAAGAACACCACCTTGAATTTAGCATTTATGCTCAGTATTTACAACCATTGACAGAAATTGGAAGTGAGCTCCTTAGGTTGCACCATCTTGCAACAGTGAATTTTACACCAAATTTAGACAAACTAGCTACCTGGCCAATTCAACTTCAGGCATTTACACTGCCAAAACCTCATTATATAAATAAAGTATGGCTACTGACTAATGAGTTAGCTGGAAAAACTTGAAAATAACATTAAGTCTCGTGGTAGGACATAAGGCAATTTAAGGACTTGTCTTGGGAAACGGTTTGCACTATATGCTGTTTTAAACACGACAGTTAGCACGGTCTGCTTGTAATGCCACTGCCCCTTAGAAGCAGAGCTTGGGTTGGGACGCCAGTAATCCTGAGGAACTATTTTATTTTTATTGAACACCTTTTAACCAGAGTTTGGCTGATGTTGAACAGATGGGTCATATCAAGAAGTATAAAGTCGTCTTTATACCAGTGAGCTTGCACAGGAACAGTTACAGTTTCCTAAACCCTTTTGGCAGCAAAAAAGCTGAAGTATCACTATTTCTTCATCTGCCTCCCCAGAGCTGTAGGTCAATCCAAAGCACACTGTCGTAGCAGACATTTCTCCACGTGTTTCCTCACAGAAGTTTGAACCCAGGATGAGTACTTTGGACTATTGCTTTCCCTTCTAACTCCTGAATGAAGCTGTGGCTTGAAAAGCAATAGTATAGACTTCTACCTCTACAGCTCCTTACTTGCAGAATTATTAAGTTCTTCATCTTTTTCCTTTTCCCTGTTCATATCCTCTTTCCTTCTTTGAAATGGTTCCAAAACAGCAATAATTCTGAAGGAAGTTATCATAACCTCATTTCCAGAAGTTGTTAGTAACATTGTTAACAGATGACTATTCACAACTGTGGCTTTGGACCTGTGATTAATACATATATACACACACACTCAGTTTGGACCGCCCAGAACATACAGTCATGTAACCAGTATCTCCAATATAGTACTCCACATAGTCTGCAACCACTTCCATAGTTTCCCAAGCAAAACAGACACCGAGCAAGTAGCAAACAAAGACAGGACTCAAAGCTTTTTAATTCTGCAGACAAGGGTAGACTGGATAAAATATACATGTGAATTTCTCCACACAAAACAAGGAGCCTTGGAAAAGGCCAGCATGCTAAAAGCAAAAGAAATACCTGACTACAACCCAATCCTAAAGTATGAACCATAAACCAAGAGCACGAATGACATTCTTAAACTGGATTCCTCTCCCTCCTAGTACAGAAGGCTATTGCTTGACAGAGAGGAATGAAAATAAAATATTAAAAAAAACAAACACATTCATCACTTTCCTCCTACGTTACAAGTAGTACTAGTCTTATTGTCATTCAGTAAAAAGACAAAAATAGACATAAGGTATGATATAACACAACACTGCTCGGAGCCAGGATTGCTATCAAAGCAGACCAGTTGACACACCCCTCTTTCTAACTAACCAGTGATGAGAAGGTACAAGCCAGGCTGAAATGAATGATTTAAGTGTTAATGACGAATAAGCAACTTGTGCATAAGCCTTCCACTACTTTTGCTTCATTACATTTGTCACAGAAAAGAAATCAAAGACATAACTCTCTGGCTAAGAATAAAAAGTAAAATAAACAGCATAATCCAATAACACACAAACCTTTGAAAAACTCATGGCTTTGGCCATATACAAGTCAGGAAACATGATCTCTGCCTGAGGGGAAAGAGACTGCTAAAATTACTTCTTCACAAAGTTTTCAAGTCCTTTCTATGCTTCCCCCCCTCTATGCCTATATAGTTACCATAAGATGAGAAGAAATTCTGCCTGAAAGCAAACACTACTATTCATTTCCTTTAATATTAGTTGATTTTGGAATCAATGGACTGTAGTATAGTAGAGTGAGAAAACAGTCACTGGAGAAAGGATGTTGCCTTTGCATTATAATTATTTTACTTCAAAAAAATCCAAGAAGAACGAACAGTCATTCAAGCCTCTCTTCATAAGATACTTTGTCTTTCTTGTAAATAAATAAATCACAGTAAATTACTATGTTTAATCAAGTTCTTTCCATATGAAAGTAGTAAAATGCAAATGAAAGAAGAAATCCAAGTGCAATTCAGCTCACATTCGTGGACAGTGCTCTTAGAGAAGCTAGTCATAATATCAAGAAGTGTTAGCGAGAAGAAATATACCACTTTTCTTTGTGTCACACTCCCATTAAAGTTGATGACAGTAAAATTTAGTTACTCAGCTGTATATTGCCTTTCTGATCTTGTCCTTTCCCACCTTACTCGATTTTCTAGTACTGCCAGGCTCTTAGCACTCTGGGATGCCACATGTTGGCCAGTCACCCAGCAAAAGTCACTTATCTAATCTCTGGTCTCCTCCAGGCTCCAAATCCTCAGGGTAGCCATGATCTGACATGTACTGAAATAGAACACCACAAGCTTTATCTGCCATTGTTTGCTGTCCTTGTAAAGCACCTTTATGTGCATCTTTTGCTCATCCACATATGGCAATCATAAGCCTAGCTTGGATAAACCCCAAATAATACATCCTGACAGTGCAAAGCACATACAGCGTAATTCTTGTTTGTACTCTGTGTGCTCTCTGCATATGAATCCCAAGTAATCAGTATGCTGGAGAGACATCTCAGAATATACAATCTTCAGAGAGGTTGGCAATAAAACACTAGCTAGTAGTAGGAATGACAAACACAGACCATTGTCTAGCTGTGGTTACAGTTAGAGATGCACAGAGGTAGTCTGATACAAGATTGCTGCTTACTGCTGAAATATGGTTTTCTAGTTTGTTTTTTTCTGGACATTTACAAATAAGCTCTCTGAAGAGACAGCAGTGCAATACTTTAAAGAAAAGCACCATTTGCTTCAAGCAGCAGGTCAATGACAAAGGAATATTATCTCAATTTACACTGATAGAAAGAACTAAACATACAGTCCTACAGGCACATACCTTTCCTATCCACTGTATGTTTCTGTAATGCTTACTACCACAGTATTCAGTATTTTTTGGCTAGAATGGCTATTTCTGGGGAAAGTTTGGCAGAGATGTAGAAACGCCTGGTAGTGACCAATTCTGTCTTCATCCCACCTTTAGCCAAAAGCAGATGGGAATGTTTCCAGAGGTACTTGAGCAGAGGATCAGGAATCTCATATTCTAACACTGCATGCTCCAGTGACATGCACTGAATCCTCAGGCTGACCAGTCACAGAACGTACAGTGAATGTTTGTCAACTCATCTCTTGTATCAACACAAGACCTAAACAAACCAAGTGTAAATCCATTAAAGTCAGGCTTTCTACAAATGCAAAGTATTTTTCTCAGCAACACTACCGCAGCAGTCCACTTCAACCTTTATTGTTAAATAGTTGCAAGTACTGATGCTTTAGCATCTGAAAGGAGGAAATAATTTCTTTTTCCTAAACGCACATTCTCATTTTAGAAGTACGGTTATTTTTCTGGGGTACACACATCACTTTCTCGATAGTTTAGGCATGTGTGTAATCTTTATTTGGCAGTAAACACTTTGTTTGTGCAAAGCTACATACTCTAATACTTCTCACAATGGCCTCAGTCCAGGGCTGTGCTGTAGTCCCACAAGGAGAGCCAGTAGGACATGTTCCCTGGCTGATCTCCAGCTCATCTGTTTGCTCTGCTCCCCCACCCTCAATTGCCGGCTGTACGTTACAGCGCCTGCGTTATTATTTAACCTTTTAATTCACCACAAGTCAAAATTTGTTTGGGGTAGTGAAGCAATACAAGCATCGCCCATAACTGGACCAAAATCAATAATGGTGAAGTTACGAAAAAAGTTCCTTTATTTGTAAAATGTACTTCACTTCAGCCACTGGGATACAATGATTTAGACATGGAACAGGAAAGACTCACCTCAAATTCCTACCTCACTCCAAATTCAGGAGAGGAAGTCAAGTGAAACAGTAGGACCTGCTCTTTTCTCCACCAAAAGGGTGAGGGGAAGAGGCATTGTTGGTGCCTTCCGCCACACCAAAAAACACGAGACAACCAAACCAGGCCTGTCAGAAGCACCTGCAGAACTGAAGTCTTCTCCTTGCGGTATGGGAGCACAGGCAGAAAAACAGTCTGCCAGAGATGCCTGAATCCAGTGACAGATACTCTGTTGTCATGCTGTTTTTTTCCCACGGCCAGAGTCCTACAAGCTGGATCTCATGCATAGCTCAAGGGAGACCAAAGCAAAGGAAAAATACTGATCTTGAAGATGGTAACTCAAGAAGGCCTCTTCTTATACTGCAGCAGCACAATTGTTTGCCTTTATCCCATCAATAAAGAATAAGCAAGCAACAGTCATGTAGAAAAGCAATGAGGGTGCACCCCTCACCCCTTCTCCATCCTGTACTCTCTAAGACCATCAGAACAATTTTGTACTAGTTTCCAGAGATAGATCTCTGACTCCAGTTCCCATCTTTGGTGCACATCTACATTAACATTTCAGATCAGATCCAGGAGGCCATTTAAAGGGATAGCACATAAGCTATGCTTCAGTTCACACC